TTCATGAAATACCTCCGTTTCGTGTTAGCAAACTCGAGGAAGGTAGTGGTACTTGCCTTCAGGTGGTCACGGAATTTCCTTCTATAACTTTCAGTAGAGAGGAGGTAGGCGTCCAACACTGCTTGTTTCAGAGTGTAGTAGTCATTCTCAGACGCCAAAGTACTGAGTGTGACTGCAGCTCTACCTGTAAGATGGACTCTGAGAAGTGTGGCCCATTGGTCGACAGGCCAACTGAGTTGATTAGCAAGGGTTTCAAAGGTGGTAAAGAACACATCAACTTCTGCTTCTACAAAGGATGGCATTAACTTACTTGCATGTGATATATTAAAACTGACGGGAAGATTGGCAGTAGCTTGTTGGCGTTGAGTGAAGTGTGAAGTTTCCAAGGCGATTTCACGTTGACGACACTCTAGAGCCAGAGTTGCTTGTTGCTTGTCATGTTCGCGTTGCATCTCCAACTCGCGTCGTTTGGTTTCAAGCTGTACTCGTTCCCGCTCCTGGAGTGTTTCAAGCTGTACTCGTTCCCGCTCCTGGAGTAGTGCAACCTCACGTTCCTGGAGGGCGAGTCCACGTTCGTGTTCTTCTCTTCTCAAAGCAGCTTCACGTTCTCTGAGGGTGATTTCTCGTTCTTGTTCTTCTCTTCGTATGGCAGCAGCTCGTTCTTGTTGTTCGAGGGCTTCCCTTTGCTGCTCACGTTCAATCTTGGCCAGCTCTAGTTTAAGTTTCATCGTTGCCAAGTCAGTTTTATCTGCAATATAGTAAGTTTCATGAGTTTCAGAGTCTATCTTACCTTGCTCTAAATAGTAATCCAGCAACAGGTTGTGTAGGTCATTTTTGTTGGCTTGGTAGGGAACTTCTAGTTGATACTCATGTGCAAGAGTTTGTAGTTCAGTCCTCTTGGCACGACTTAAAGTCCCTATTTCACCTGCTGGATTTGCACGGAAAGTTTGGAGACGAAACATGGTGAAATTAGCAAATAAAGGTACACGAATGTTCAATAATGAAATGTCAGAAACAGGACAACGTGGCAACTGGTACCTATCCTGTGTGATCTTTAACAATTAACGTTAAGTGAAAGATATTAAATGATTAAATTAAATCAAGGGCGCAGGAAATCTTGTACCCGGTACTCATGTAAGAGAATAAGGGCAAGAAAATCCTACTAACAAATGAAACAAAGTTTCGAAAACAAATGAAACAGTTAAATGCTTCAAAAGTAAAATTGGTAGTCCAAGGATGTAGGCATACCTTGCCAAGTCTCTATAGGACATAAAGCAAGTTTTTCCTACTGAATTTAATATGATACTTACAGAATTAGCGAACTTTTGTGCTCTGAAAAAATAAGCTAATTCCCTACCGTTGTATGTATCATCATCTCTGACTGACGTGTAGGGGTGCGAGGTGTCAACTGGTGACGAGAACTGCTGCTGAGGTCCCAATTCAGCAACTAAAGTTCGAGCTAGAGGAACTATGGCCCTCTTTGTCCTCCTACAGTCAGATTGCAGAAGATTGGGTACTCTTGACCCGGGGCAGACCACAGTACCAGGGTACCAATATGATGATCTGTCAGAATGAGAAATATTCAAGGGACATAGATGGTAAATACGAGTAATAACAAGGAGGGAGAGATGACCAATTAAGAGTATGACTGCGGCCTACAGTCACCACGTAATCCAAAGTTGTCTCACCTTCACTATATGTTACTCTCGTAATGCACAATACACCGCACCTTATAAAAAATGAAATTGAATGAAAAATAGTAAAGCTACGTTAACAGAGTTAAATACGCTTACCATAAATTACCACTTGGCACCAGTACCTGAGTGAGGCTCCTAGGACAGGCCCCCATAAAACTTGTGACGGTAACGCGTTGGTGTTCGGCTGTTTAAGGCTAGGGGTATGGCCTCGTCACATAGTTATAAAAAAAAAATAGAAAAACTGGAACTTCGTCTGTGGTAAGGTAAGGAGAAGACACACAAAACACAAGTAAAACTTTAACAATGAAATTTTAATTACGTTAAATAAATCAAAACATGAAAATAATGCACAAACAAATATGTATAATAAAATCAATGAATCAAAATAATAAGAATACTTAAATGACACAATGAAAGTTACGTTAAGGCAAAATAATAAGAAGTGCAACACAAAAGTTAAGTGGGAGGTGCTGGAATATTGGCTTAAAGCCACCACCTCTCTCAGTACACGCTAACGTCTAGCTGGGAGGAGTGCTGGCTACGAAAGCACGGAACATTCTGAAGACTGATGTTGGGGCGACCCCAGACATCAGGTAGTATTGGGGGGCGAGTGCAGGTGCAGCCAGACCGGCGACCAATCAGCGGAGCCGTAGCGATCAACGGGTAGTTTGGTGGTTGGAGTTCGAACAGGTGGCTGGTTGCATACGTTTCTGCTCACCCTGGCAAGCCTTGCTGGTGCTGGTTGTCGTTGTTGGACATTTCTTCCATAGTCTTTTTATATAATTGTGAAGACGTAATTTTGGAGGGAAGAGCAGGCTCAATCTCTTGAAGGAGATTATCGTCACAATATATATATATATATATATATATATATATATATATATATATATATATATATATATATATATATATATATATATATATATATATATATATATATATATATATATATATATATATATATATATATATATATATATATATATATATATATATATATATATATATATATATATATATATATATATATATATATATATGGTAGTTTTAGTTAGTTTAATTTATTTATTATGCACCCCATACCCATCTTGTGGGCGGTAGCGGAAAAGGTTACAGAGGCAAATAATAGTCACGAACCCAAATTAATTTAGCTATGCAAAGTAATCACAGTCTTGATAAGCTAATTGCACAGTTTAATGTAGATGTCAATAATAGGTTCGAGAACGACCACAACTAGTCTCCAAGCTAAGCAACTTACATATGTGGTGAGCTATGTAAGCTCTATGTAAACTATGAGCTAGTTTCATAGTTATATTTGCTTATCACTCCACCCTCCCCACCAAGTGGGTAGCAGTGGAAAGGTTAGTCAGCCACATTTACTACTTACAGTTAGCAAACTGTGGATATTTGGCTAAATTTTTATTATAGAGCATTTTGAATGAAATATTTGCACATTTCTTGAAGAGTTGTTATAGACCTGTCTCTATAACAACATTATTCCTATTCGTGTATCTTTTAGCGTCCTTTGCCACAGCCTTCCCGGCTTGGTGCCTACTTTTGATAATTACTTACTTTTCGCCTCCCTTCATATAGTGTTGCAGGGTGTGCGAATAATTTTGCTGGCATAGAAAACATTTGGTCAGGTCTACATCGGCAGGTAATATATAAAAGAATACTATTCATACACCACGAGAGTTTGGTCAACCTACTAACGGGATACACGCTGTCATGCACAGACCACTGATGCTTAGATGCTGACTGCAAGTCACAGCTCACGGCTCTGTCTACAACCGTAACCCTTGTAGACGGGTAACTGTGCGCGTCAGGGGCTGTGACATCTAGGCTGTCTTTGTGCTCAAACGAACCCTTACATATGTTCTAGTATATGTCAACATTTAGAGAAATCCGTTGCAAAATCCAACAGAAAACAGATCTTACATGATAAGGTGTAGTTGTAACATTGGTTTTCTTTCTGTCTGTCCGGACTTCGAATTAATGCACTTGAGAACCATATCAGCTCAATAAAAATCGATTGAGGGGCTAAACACTCTAGTACAATTATTGCTAATGACAAGGTAACCTTCGTTATTAAGCCAAGAATAACGTGTTACTATACCATAAATCAGAACTAGATGAGTGGCTGTAACTGGCAGTTATAAAGACACGGCTAACTTCATTCACCTTAAATTATAGTGATATGATATCGTGAATTATAGTTTATCATTGATACCCTAATAGTTTTATGCGTTTTCCAGCCTTGTATAGATTTACAACATTTTGTTCTTATTCCTATTATATTCATGTCTTCCTCACATCTCACAGCTTCCCTACCATTCACTACTTTCCCTATCTTTCACCAACTTCCCTATTCTTCATAGCCTACCTTACTCATTACCATTTTCCCTTCATTTTTGTAATCTTAGTGAGAATGGAGTCTTTTATTTAGGAAGATTGTAAATAAGCATGATTTACCATTACATGTAAACTGTAGGGTATAGGGCTCCGACCCCAACCCGCCTATTACCATCCCCAAATAAAGACCAGTCACCCTGCAAAGTTACTGCTGGTAAACAGGGGTGAACAATTAAGGACTGGTACACTGTCAATCCTCCCCTGGTCAGGGCTCGAACCCAGACGAACTCGCTCGCAAGGTGATGGGTCTTGACGTTACGAAACCTCAGGAGGACGGGCTGGGGTGAGTGCGCTACCATGGGTTAACAATAGTAATGTTGATGTTAAACCAGAGCACAATGTGCTCGGGCTCCTGAACAGCACTGCTCGACGTACTTCTCAAGACATATAAATATAACATACATTAGGCTTTCTCACTTGCCAAGATTAATGAAGAGCACTAAGGTATATTGGAAAACACAGAACGGAGAAAGATAGACACATAATGAGGGAAGGTTGACGCAGAACGAGAGAAGATAGATGGAATTAGCACACAAACAAATTAAAGTCATGAACAAGGTGTGGAAACTTAACCCATGATAAAACTCCTAGCAACTGAAACAAAAATTTTATTTACAAAATATACTAGTAAACACTCATGACTTGATAGTTGTTGACGAGTGAACCATATAAGTTTTAATATTAATATAAACCGATTTATTACTATGCGATTATGTGCAGCTGGCATTTTTCGTGTATGGTTTTAATGGTCAGTTGGCATGTTAACCCAATAGACTTACTGCAGGCTTACTAATCTTTTATTGTTGTTGGTTCAGTAGGCCTACTGCACTTCTAGTTATTTTTACTGTCTATCATTACAACTGCACTATTGTTTACAATCATTGGTCTTACCTTATGTTTCGTAGTTTCATTGTGGCTTTTAAAGTTCATCAGAACAGCAACAAAGGATCAATTCCTTATCTATGCAAACAGTTCTGTTATGTGATAGGCCAATAGGCTTTCGTAAATTTCATATCTTGTTTAATGTGTGTTTATTCAGTTATAATGGGGCGTTCTTGTTTTAGCAGGTGTAGAAGGCTCTTGTCAGAGGTTTCTTAAGTGTTTCCAGCTGACACACACACCTTCCCAGTGTTATTATTGTAATGTATTTGCAAGGTACTAGAGTACCTCCCACCTCCTTGACACATTACAAGGTACTGCAGTGTCTCACCTTCTTCTTAAACTCACGGGATCATTTAAGATACCTGACTGTCAATACCATATCTTCCTTTAATTCTCACACTTCAATTCACGAAGATCTTGAGCTCCGCCTTCATAAGACTAAGAAAAACTCGAATTATTTTCCGTATTAGTGCTCTTACAGGTTACATTGTGATGAAGCTGACCAATGTAAAATACACAGCGGCGCCTCGGTGGCTTCCTCACTATCCTGACGCATCTTCTAACTCGTATACTTCTATGTGAGAACACGTTAGGTTCATGTACGACACTAGAAACTATTAAATTATATTTGTGTCAGTAGCTTCTGTGAGAAGCCTGCGCTCAGGTCCTCCCCTCGCAACAACTGACAAGCAACTGACACTTCCATATATATTTCACCACTATACTAGGTCAGACAGCGGTGGGCCACAGTTGATTTTATGCTTCAACATCTACTTCACGTTTTAGTAACCTTGTAAAGAGATTACTGAAGATAATACTATTATGTACTTTGTCCTATATATATAAACATGCCTGTAAATATTCCTCATGGTTAGAAATTCAAGAGTTGGTATTCCTAGAGTTCCATGTAGAAGAGAAGAAACATAGGCATTTAACGACAAGCAACATCATTTACAACATTCACAAAGCTTCGTAAAACACTAAAGTTATGGAGACATTACTAATATAGATCTACAACTATAAATAAAGGTTTTCGCTAAATTAAGTTCAGTGCTAAGAGTGGGGCGGAGGTCAGGCGGCGGTGGGAGCTCCTTGTAACGGGACTCAACATTTTTGGCGGATACTGCCTTCTGGCTCCCAACATTTTTGTCATACTAAGCTTAGAACTCGCAATATTTTGATCTAGAAATCTAGAACATCATGAATTACATTACAGAGGGAAGGGGGGGGGGGGATATATATGTATATATATATCTTCTCTGAGTACTCTTTATTTTCTTCTCCGAGGCTCATGGGTCCCTACACTTGCACCAGAGGTGGTACCCCTTCTAGGTCTATATATATATATATATATATATATGCAAACAAGCCTGAATGGTCCCCAGGACTATATATACAACTGTGTGAGTTTTCAGTTATATATATATATATATATATATATATATATATAGGTATATATATATATATATATATATATATATATATATATCCTGGCCAGGTCATATATATAGCTTGGGGATTATATCCCCGGCATAGCTACAGTATGCCGGGGAAGGAGGGAAGGAGTGACTATGCAGGTTCGAGTCCTGGCCAGGTCAGAGAGTTTTTAGTATTTATAGCTTGGGGAGTTATATACGAGCCTCGAACCGCAGACCACACAGACAGCACCCTGCAGCTCTACCTACTGATCCACCAGCACACATAATAAGGAAGGATTTCAGACACCTATCTGCTGTCCAAATAAGCTACAGTTGGAGTCGTTCTCGACTCACGATCGAAAATTCCGGGTTCGAATCCCGGGCGGGCCATATAAATGGTTGGGCGCGTTTCCTAGCACCTCAGAGGTCACGACCTCTCCGTAGGGTGCAGTCGTACCTCCACAGATCTCCAGTATCACCTAATGATACTAATAATTGCTTCAAAGGGCCACCACTTACGGGCTATTCATGCCCGTGCCACCTTTTGGGTGGCTTAATTTCAATCAATCACCAATCCTAGCACCTAATGCACCTGTTTACCAAGCAATAAAATAGGTATCCAGGAGTTAGTCAGCTTGTTGTGGGTTGCATCCTTATAAAGGTCAGCAATTCGACCCTGGGGAAGGGGGAGGAGACCTCGATATAAGTCTTACGTATACTCTGTGTATTATTATTATATTCAAGGCGTTGAAACCTTCCAGGAAACTAAGTACACTGCCTCGCTCGGTTTAATAATTTATAGCAGCTCGGGAAAGTCCCTGTACCTCGCACTTCCGAATCATGTTAGCATTCTAGGAAAAAAATTCTGCTTGCAGCCCCAATGGTAGGTTAGTAAAGAAACGTATTGTCTGCCGAGCCAGCAGTCCCATCACCCTTGGGCCATTATCTCATTGTTCAGCGAGGCAGACCGTGCATCCTAATCTACCCAGGCAGCACAGGCTATTTCTGCTTCCCAAATTGTTTCACCGGTCAAAGAGTGACTCAGAACGCTGTCACACGAATGATCAAAATTATCGCTATCAAATCGTTGTTTGTAATTGGAAGAAGAAGAATTTCTTAGTACGATCATACAGCATGTGACGGATCCCACCCGAGGTAACAGTATTTGAGACCTTGTAATAGCACGAGTAGAGTTAGGAGAGTTCACTCCTACATGTGATCGCCTAACCACTTTGGCTGGACGGTAGAGCGACGGTCTCTCTTCATGCACGTCGGCGTTCGATCCCCGACCGTCCAAGTAGTTGCGCACCATTCCTTCTCCCCCGTCCCATCCCAAATCCTTATCCTGACCCCTTCCAAGTGCTATATAGTCGTAATGGCTTGGCGTTTTCCCCTTGATAATTCCCTCCCTCCAGAGCGAATAAAAAACAAGTTCCAACAACAAAGCGCAACCTCTGGAAGAAGTTGCGCATTGTTTGGAGACAGTTTACGTAGGTATGTAATGGTAAGATCTCATTTGCAAGAGTTGTTCCCATTGACGAGAACAAATTATTGGCTAATTCGGTTATATGTAAGTGACATTATTTCAGTATAAAATTATGATAGAAAAAATCTCCAGGAATGACCGGGGACCTTTGACAAGCTACTGGCTTCCTGTCCCCGTCGAGGCCACTATAGGGAGATAGTGGCGTTGAGATACAGTCAGGTAAGTAGGAACTCGTAATTCTCAATTCTTTCACAGACAGGTGACATACTTCTATGAAGTGTGTCATCTGTCTGGTAACATACTTCTATGCTTCATACAACATAATGCCCCGTGAAGCCTCCACGTTGTCTCCCTGAAGCTACCATGTTATCACTATGAATCTAAACAAAGTATTATTATACATGTGGTCATATGACACAAAGAGGTCATCTTGAACCCCGTCATAAAGTCAATATGATTCTCCCGCAAAATTTATATGACTCCAGCATAAGGTTGCCATTGATGTCTGTCAATGCCGTGATGACTCTACTGTTACGTGAATCATGAGGTCGCTGCAAGTTTAACCCATGAAACCGCCTACCCGCCGAAGCTGTAATTGCCAAAACTGTTATTTTTTTATAATCTACCTGGAACCTCAAGATCCTCACGGCAAAAGGAGGGACCTTCGACAAGCCGCCGGCATCCTGTCGTTGTCGAGGCCACTAGGGTTAGTGGCCCTCCGGTAACTCCCAACAAATATATCATGAGGGTATAATACTCTCCAAACATCCATGAAAAGATTCGTATTATATCATTATTAGAACAGCACATTGCGCCTTTTGGTAATATTTATAACAGTAGACTTCGATGACATCATTCTCACACGCTTGGAATGTGGGTGTGGAGTCTGGGAAAGACGGGAGGAGGAGGTAGGAAGTATACGGAACGACTGGATCCACCTCTCATGCATGTAGGAGTTTTTTTTTTTTTCGTACCAGGCAAATGCGGAAGGTTTAGAAGATATGCGTCAAGGAGTTCCCCGTCGCTGAGGCGCCGTCGAGGGGTCTCTTCCCTCCCCAACAAGCTGTATACATATAGCCAACGCGAGGACAGGGACAGCTTCACTACGTCGAGGCAGCGCGAGGGACACTGGTGGCTCTTGCTTGTTGTAGTTAAACCGTCTGAAACAATGGTACATTGTTTAACGGAATTGCAAGACAGATATATTCATTTGATCACTCCAAGAAGCAAGGAACGCGTGCTCATCTTGCTAGGACACCTGTAAAATAGAAACTAACCAAGATTCCAGGCCCAAACAAATTACAAAATCAATCACAACCCGAAGTTCAGCTCGCACTCCAAGATGGATTTCGAATACGATCATATCCAGCCTTCTTTCGGCATGGGTGCCTCGTCCCTGGAGGACAGGGATATAGATGATCTGTGTCATCTATATCTAAGTGACGTGGATCCGTCAGACTACCCAGAGCATCAGCACTTGCCCAAGCTTCCCGTCACCGACTTGACAGGAGAGGTAAGCTGTCCGGCTATTGTCATTCCTCTGTCTATTTGCTTCGATTGAATGTAGTCCCAGTATAACATGTTGGTCCACTACAAATCTAATGAGTTTGATCTTTTAATGCAAGTAATTTTCGTGGTTACACGGACAGGTTGTACAGCTACATGGAAAAATGCAATAAAGTTTTGCCGTCGTAGAGTTAAATAAACATAAACATTACAATTTTATTTAGGGAAAAGTACATACATACATACATACATACATACATACATACATACATACATACATACATACATACATACATACATACATACATACATACATAATGACCAGACCACACACTAGAAATTGAAGAGACGACGACGTTTCGGTCCGTCCTGGACCATTCTCAAGTCTATTGAGAATGGTCAATCGACTTGAGAATGGTCAATCGACAATCGACTTGAGAATGGTCCAGGACGGACCGAAACGTCGTCGTCTCTTCAATTTCTAGTGTGTGGTCTGGTCATCATACTTCAGCCACGTTATTGTGACTCATCGCCTGCATACATACATACATACATACATACATACATACATACATACATACATACATACATACATACATACATACATACATACATACATACATACATATATAATAAGGATACAATCAGACAGATGGAATCAAAGATAATCAATGTACATTGCTTAAAGTCACTAATACGCAGAACGTTTCTGGCACAATGTGGGAAAAACGTTTCATATTTTCTATGAACACATTCCTTGGACAGAGACAAGTATGGTTGATACAATGGATTACCTCATGTTTACAATTTGTTAGGAAGTCAATGAGTGGTTGAGAGCTGATCTGCCGGAGCGGTGGGACGACTTCGACCTCTCCCGACCGAAGGCCATCTCCGACAACGAACTTCTTCCTCTCTCTCAGCCGCAGCTGCGCAGCTTCTTCGACGACCACTGCGATACTACACTGTACCAGCAGCTGCACTTCCTTAGGGAAAGTCAAGGTGAGTTTTGGTGGGTCCAGGAACTGTTAAGGCAAGAGCTGCTTGGTTCAAGATCTCTTGGGAGGACTTATACCTCGAGGAAAAGCAAAAATTGTGCACCTCATTCTCATCCTGTGAGTGATAGTTTATTGTGCTCGCCTAGTTGTACTCTCAACCGTCAATCTACTGGTGTACAGATTCCTGAGCTTCTCGAACTCTATCATATCTACATTTGAAACTGTGTATGGAGTCAGCCTCCACCACATCACTGCCTAG